TTATTACTATAATAATATTAATAATAATAAAAATCAGCATTTTTATAATAATAATAATTGTTGGTATTGTTATTATTATTGCTATCATAAGAGAATAATGCTAATTATTATTATTATTCCTTTACAGTGGTATTTTGCAGTAATACGGGTATACTTTGTAGCAATTAATTTGTACAATTAATTTATTTATAACAGTGTAAAAAAGGTGCAATAACAGTGTTGCTTCAGCACCACAACCAGTGTTTGTTTTTATTTTGTAGTCTGCAGTCTAAAAATAACAGCTGTCATTTGATTGGTTGCCATGGACCACACCTACACCTCTCTTTAACGAGATTTTTATAACTCAACCCATTCTAGTTGATGGTAAATACATGACAGCAAAAAAAACAAAACGTTACCTGTGTTTTCATTTATAAATTCTCCAACCTTTTCTTTCTAATTTTTTATCCCCAATGGGACTCGGTGCAGGTTAACTTTATGTTGACCAAATCAAAACTGTTCTTCTTGTGTGCGGCAGGGGCGCCCTTACAGTCAAAGCTGTCTGTTAAGCTACTGCAGGGACCATAATATTAATTAAGGACTCGAAAGTGGCTCAAGGGTTCTCTAAGCGAGAACAACAATTTTCTAACAACGGCCCTTTCGGAATATATATAAAAATGATAAAATCATTTTCACTGAAAAGCTTTGAAATCAACTTTTGTACCCTAATGTTCTTGTTTTAGAACGGCCAGCAAAACTGCTACCATCCGTGTAACGGGGTGCCATTGTAATTGTTATAGAATGATGATTGTCTTTATATCAAGCTTGCCGTCAAGTTTAAAGGGCCGAGTTTAAAGGGCTATTGATAATTGTAATAAAGATTTTTACAATTATTTTTTATTTATATTTATAGACCCGCTGCTCTGCACGTCTGCCCCATTAAAAAATAAAATCTACAAGCACGACCGAACATCAATGGCAATGCAGATGAACCGATAAGGCGGGCAGAGATTGATGATATTAACATCTGAGGTTCCTGTCTTAAAATCTGGGGCAATGTACTTTATATTACTACACTGAATAAAAAAAAAAATTAAATAAAGGCCCCGAGTTTACTAAATCAATAGATTAGGTTTTTTTATATTTGTAACTTAACCCTCTTGGTGGTGTTATTGCAAGAATGAGTTAACTCGCTGGCTTAGGCAATGACGACAAGTTGATGTATCCCCTCGCAGCAGTGCATAGCAACCAATCAGATCGTTATCATTAGTCTACTGTTCTACTGCAAGTTCGAGGCCTCATTGGCTGGTTTCAGCAACAGTTTATGAGAACTAAATGGGGAGCTCATACTGGTTGGTGACCATATATCAGTTAACAAGACATGTAATATTAATTTAAAAGTCGCAGTAAAATGTCAGCA